CACCAAAATCCCACCCGCCCGTCTCCCGCGAGGCCGACGCGGCTCCGCCGAGGACCCTTGTGCCGAGTCCTCGGAGGTATCCCAGGCGCAGGGAGCATCCGTAAGAGCTCGTCCTACCACGGCTGAGCGTGTGCGGGTGTCTTCTGCAGAAGCAAACAGCTGCGGGCTGCCCATTAACCAGAGGGGTGGGCGATGCTCCATGGCTGGAAACATTCAAGGCCGGGTTGGACGGGGCTCTGAGCAGCCTGATCGAGTTGAAGATGTCCCTGCTCGTTGCAGAGGGGTTGGGCTAGATGGGCTCAAAAGGTCCCTTCCAGCCCTGGGGTGCGTTAAGAAGAGTGTGGCCAGCAGGTCGAGGGAGGTTCTCCTTCCCCTCTACTCTGCCCCAGCGAGGCCCCATCTGGAGTCCTGTGTCCAGTTCTGGGCTCCCCACTTCAAGCAAGATGAGGAGCTACTGGAGAGAGTCCAGCGGAGGGCTACGAGGATCATGAGTGGACTGGAGCATCTCTCCTGTGAGGAAAGGCTGAGGGAGCTGGGCTTGTCCAGCCTGAAGAAGAGAAGACTGCGAGGGGACTGCTTTATAACTGCTTATAAATATCTGAAGGGTGAGTGTCAGGAGGATGGGGCCAGACTCTGTTTCAGTGGTGCCCAGCAACAGGACAAGGGGCAACGGGCACAAACTGAGGCACAGGAAGTTCCATCTGAACATGAGGAAGAACTTCTTCCCTCTGAGGATGACGGAGCACTGGAACAGGCTGCCCAGGAGGTTGTGGAGTCTCCGTCTCTGGAGATATTCAAGACCCGCCTGGACACGGTCCTGTGCAGCCTGCTGTAGGTGACCCTGCTTTGGCAGGAGGCTTGGTCTAGATGATCCCCAGAGGTCCCTTCCAACCCCTAACATTCTGTGATTCTGTGATGCTGTAACCGCAACTGTTCTATGATTAATATATTTAAGCTAGAAATCAGATGATTTCTAAATACAGGAGAATTAACAATTTGCAAAATATTTCCAGTAGACATAATGGGGCAAAAATAATAATTATCTTTAGGGTGGAGCTCCGCACATTTCCAAAAGGAACAAAGTGGTGTGGTTGTGGATGGTAACATGGAACAAGACCTGACGGCCTGGGAGATGCCTTCAGTGCCAAATTGTGTGCTCTAACCCTGGCCACTGGGAGCAGAGGTGCTGTAAAGCCCTAACACGAGTGAGCAGGACTTGAGGAAAAACAGAAAGTGTTAGTCTCCTCTGGTGGGAAAAGCCTGGAGGAAAATCTGTACAAGATGAGCTCTGACAGGAGTTGGGAAAATCTTCATTCAAGAGCAAAGATCTGTAAGATCTGTTGACCCTGATAGCCGAGAACCTGTCCCCGAGGTGGGTAGGAGCTGGTAAGCCGTGCGCTTAAGCACTTCATTATTTGAAGATAGTCTTCTGTACTGCTTTTGCCTCATATAAATGCCCTGCAGGCTGTGAAATTTGGCCGGTCACTATTAACTCTATGATTGCTCCGGAGAAAGACTTGCACCGCACGGGACGAGCTACATTCAGGCCAGCCGGGATAGTCCCAACCATATGCAAAGGGGCTGCAACTTAAGGCTTCCTTTAAAACCAGAGGAATGGAGGTTCCCATCACCCCTTCCCCTCCCCAGAGTGATACGGTGTGATGCCTTAGAGCGGTGCTGTGGGGGCTGCACAGAGAGGAGAAAAGTACAGTCCAGAACTGAAAGACGAGCCCTTGCCCGCTCGCTCACCCACCGCTCCTCTCACCCGGCTCCCTCGGGCGCATGCGTGGTGTCGCTGCCCGAAGCCCACCTCCCCTAGGCATTCTCAGCCCGGCATCCCTCGCACACGCGCACGTCCCCTCTTGCACACCAGCCACACCTCCACATCCTTGCTGACGTGATGCCAGCACCCCCTTTCCTCCTCCATACCTTTCTCCCTTGTGCTCTGTGCTCACTGCTCGCTGCCTGAGGGGAGAAGACAACGGCCACAGGCTGGGACAGCAAGGCAACCTTCAGGCCATTCCATCTTTCCTCCGACTATTCTCTGCGAAGCAGCAGCTGGGTGGGGGGCTGCAAAACGGGTTGGGGGGCATGGGAACCGCTCCTCACAGCCTGGGCCACCGGAGAGCACCTCTGATCCCACTCAGAAGCAAGCGAGGGTGTGGTATAAACTGGTAGCACTGAGCTCCCAGACTGGGCTCCTCTGACTCCTGCAGCCTAAACTGAAGGTAGGACACTTAATCCCAAAAGTGTAGGTGAGTGTGTGAAGTCGTAGAAGCTGATCTGAGACTACCACTCACAAGTTACCAGATGATTAGAAATAATTTTTTTTTTTTCAGAAAAAAACAGCATAAGAATGACCTTTTTTACAGAAAACAGCATTGGCAGCTGTAATATAGGTATAAAGATATTTTTGGATGTTAGCCCTGTTTATGGCAGAAATAACCAAACAGTGGCTTGAGTAAACTTCAGAGCCAAAGAATTCACTAACTCATGATGTGGTTATTACAAAAGTTAATAGACAGGACTACTTACTTATCGCCCTAGAATATTTGACTACGTCTTCAGGTTTTACTTGTCAGAAGGGGCAACACACAGCTACTGGAAGTTAAATTGCCTTAAATACATTTAACATTCTTTGTGTATTCTTCTCACCTGCTGTGTTTTGCCACCTGACCGTTTGCCTTCCTTGTGTCCCAAGCTGCCTCTTCCTGCCTCTCCTGCCCCTGCCCCAACTCATCCACGTTCACCCGGACCAGAGGGCTGAAATGCCCAGAATGACTCATATAAGTTTTACTTACTGCTTTCAAAATGCTACTCACATTATTCCTCGCTTTTAGGATTAGCGGATAACGAAAATGTGTCTTACGTATGAGTATGATAATTATTCCAAGTACAAGGTTTTTCCTAAATTGCGGAGAGTGAAAGATGGGTCCAGGGAGTGGAGCAGGGCAGATAGGGCTGAGACCTTAACAAATGTTTAGCTCTTTGCCTACTGTCGCAGCCCCTTTTCTCTCTGTCCTCATGTACAATTTGGAATATTTCTGCTTCAGCTAAAAGAAATGAAAAGCAGAGGTAGTTGTTGCTCTTGCTGGCATCAAATTTTACAATTTTTAATGAAAGAGATGGTCAGAAAAGAAGCATTGTGAAGAAGAGGGGAAATAACTGTACTGTAATTATATATACTTTGGCATTCTGGTTCACACTGGCTGTCGGCCAACCAAAGTATATAGATGCAAATATCTATGATCAGAATATAGGGAATTTCAGAAATCGGGGGAAACATTCTATATTGTTATGGATGGGTAGCTGTGCAATATTCCTTTGCTCTTATTAACTGATAGAATTGAATACAAAAATAAAATATATATATATATTTTCAACAGAAACTGTGGTAATGAAAAATCCTTCCTTTATTTAGCATGAAAATAAAGGATATGATATCTTCAGGAGTGCTCTCTTTCAAGAATGAATTGCTCATTACTTAGAGTGAATTTCCCCATAGTATATATGCAGTATGACGTTTATTTAGGTTCCTTGCTCAGGTAGGATTGGCTGATGTGTGATATAGGATATTATATTAAGGGGATAGTTGTCGTATTTTACAACAATCACAGAATCACAGAATCACAGAATGTTCAGAGTTGGAAGGGACCTCTGTGGGTCATCTAGTCCAACCCCCCTGCCAAAGCAGGGTCACCTACAGCAGGCTGCACAGGACCTTGTCCAGGCAAGTCTTGAATATCTCCACAGAAGGAGACTCCACAACCTCCCTGGGCAGCCTGTTCCAGGGCTCCGTCACCCTCAAAGAAATTCTTCCTCATGTTCAGACGGAACTTCCTGTGCTTCAGTTTGTGCCCACTGCCCCTTGTCCTGTTGCTGGGCACCACTGAAAAGAGTTTGGCCCAGTCCTCCTGACACCCACCCTTCAGATATTTATAGGCATTTATAAGGTCCCCTCTCAGCCTTCTGTTCTTCAGGCTGAACAAGGCCAGCTCCCTCAGCTTCTCCTCGTAGGAGAGATGCTCCAGTCCCCTCACCATCCTTGTAGTCCTCCGCTGTACTCTCTCCAGTAGCTCCTCATCTTGCTTGAAGTGGGGAACCCAGAACTAGACACAGGACTCCAGAGGGGGCCTCACTAGGGCAGAGTAGAGGGGAAGGAGAACCTCCCTCGACCTGCTGGCCACACTCCTCTTGATGCACCTCAGGATCCCATTAGTTTTCTTGGCAGCCAGGGCACACTGCTGGCTCATGGTCAACCTGTCGTCCACCAGGACACCCAGGTCCCTCTCCACAGAGCTGCTCTCCAGCAGGTCCACCTCAAGCCTGTACTGGTGCATGGGGTTGTTCCTCCCCAGGTGCAGGACCCTGCACTTGCCCTTGTTGAACCTCATCAGTTTCCTCTGTGCCCAACTT